AATGGTAATATTATTAACTTTACCATAAATTATCTCACAAATGAATGATACAAGTATCCAATAATGGAACATYATTCCCTTTTCATTATTGAAAATGGCAGTCCTCAAGCTTCTCCTCTAAGCTCACCTCTCTTTCTGATAGCATTCAATGATTTCCCATCTATCAAAAGTCCCACAAACAAAATCACAATTTATGCAGATGACAGCAATATATTTTGCAGAGCCAATAATTTACCAACAATTATTCAACAAATTCAAAATTGTATAAACAACTTACTATCATTGAGTAAAACCTCAGGCTTTACTTTCTCTCCAGTAAAATTGAAATTTATCATTTTCTCTAAGAAAAACACSCCCTACAACCCTTCTCTAAAAATATAAATCACAAACATTCGTCGAGTCTTCAATATAAAATTACTGGGCCTAATTTTTGACACAAAACTCTCATGGCGCGCACACACATATCCATCTAAAAAATGAAGCAAAAACTAAGTTAAATATAATAAAAACACTAAATAACCTCGAATGGGGAACAGAAAGTAAAACACTACAGCAAATACACAACTTAATGATCCTCTCAGCACTAGAATACGACTCAATACTATATGCAGGAGCAACTTCAACTACAATCWAGACATTAGTCCCTATTCACAATACAGCTCTAAGATTGTCAATTAGTGTATTCAAAAGCAGCCCAGTTCTCAGTATTATAAACATCACAGTTTCAAAATCACTCGAAAAAAGAAGAATAAAACATACATTAGAATACCCTTCAAGAACAATGATAGCTACAAAAATCTGATATGCGCAATATTAAGAAACTCAATTGACCAATATCAAAATAATAATCTAAACAACCTTGGCACTCGTACAACCACTTACGCCTTTGACCTCAATACTATTTTTACAAACCAACTCAACCTTCAAGTCTCTAAACAGCCCCCACTGATCACCAAAAATCATCTCACCTATTTCAATCTAACTTCATACAAAAAAAAAAGATASCGGCTCCAACGTTTACAAACTAACTTCTTAGATCTAAAAAACAGCCTTCCACCACATCGCGAAATTTATGTAGATGCATCCAAAAACATAGAAGGAACTGCTATCGCATTAATTCAACTAAACTCTCAAACAGCACTTCAGATTCCAGATTAAAACTCCATTTACACAGCAGAATATCTAGCTCTTTTAAAAGAATTAGCCACCACCTCAGATAGTCAATGTACAATCATATACACTGACCTCTCAGTGCTCTCAAAAACTTAGTAAATCTCAAAAAAGAAAACCCTATTTGCACCAAAATATTRAACATTCTATTCATAATCAAAAAGACATAAAATAGATATGGRTACCTGGACACAACAGTATATCAGATAATGACATCATAAACGAAATAGCCAAAGCCATTTCGACATAAAACATCAAATAAACGCCAACCTCAATCAAATATATCTTCGAGAATGATGATTAATACAAAATAACAAATTAAGAGAAATTAAATCCTCCGCCCTCCTTTGGATGCACGATATTTTACTCCCACGCAGACATCAAATCATCATCGGCAGACAACGAATTGGCCACACATCATACACTCATGAACAAAAAGGAACAACGGATATGTACCTCATGTAACACCGCGATCACAGTAAACATCTTTTATAACTGAATGCCTTCTCACAAAAGACGTCAGACGCAAACCGATGCTCCCAACAATCTGTGAGAAATACTTTCACCAAACAAAGAGAGGACATCATCAATATTAGAATTCCTCAAACTCAGAGAGACCAACCTTCTGCATTAAATATAATAGCATTAGCAAAACTTAGAATATCACACAAAATGTAAACATGTTTCTCTTAAAACTTATTGTATCAATTTTCATCTATTTACAATTTATTATTATGTCGAAATTAAGTAAACTATAACATCAAACATGTATTTTGAAACGCCAATAACCCCGGTAGTTGAGGAGTATTTGTTAAATAAAACAAAATAAAAAAATAATAATAGTTCATGGTAAAATAAATTAATGATTTAAGCTAGAGTATAATAATTTTAGTGTTATAGGTTAGTTAGACCAGTGGTCTTCAACCTTTTTGGATTCGCGACCCACTTTTTTAGACCTTCATTTTTGAGACCCACATAAACTTTGTAAAAATACCGAAATTGCTTAATGCTTTGCAGTAGTACTATTACAACTGAATAAATAAAAAGTATATTTCAGTAAGTAGAATATTTGATTATTATTAATTGAACATGTATAGAATTCTTATGAAAATATAAATAAAATAAAAATATG